TCTACAATTTATATCTATCAATCATTCTTGTCTATCTGTCTCTCTATCCATCCACCCATCCACCTATCTATCTCTATATAACTATCATCTACCTATCCATCCATCCTCTTATCAATCTTATCTATATGTGTAATCTATCCATCCATCCATTTATCATGTTTATCATCATCCATGTATAATCTGTCTGTCTGTCTGTCTGTCTGTCTGTCTGTCTGTCTATCTATCTATCTATCTATCTATCTATCTATCTATCATCTATCTATCTATCTATCTATCTATCTATCTATCTATCTATCTATCTATCTATCTTTTCCTTTCCTTCTTTCCTTTCCTTTCCTTTCCTTTCCTTTCCTGGTGGATTATCTGGACGTTTGCAGGATGCGTTTTTTTTTTTTTGTTTTTTTTAAAGGCAGGATATGTCACTTCACCCTAAATATTGTCCTTGTTTTGGCTGCTGCCACACACTGCTGGCTCATGTTTTAAAAGATCATCCACTTAGGATTCCCAAGGTCCTTCTCACAGTCACTGTTTTTGAGCCAGGTTTCGGCCTAATCTGTGCGTGTACCTTTGGCTTTTTTTTCCTGCCCAGGTGTAAAATTTTGCTTTTCTCCACTTTTAACATTTCGTTTTGTTGAATAGGGCCCATGGTTCAAGTCTGCCAAGGTCTTTTTGGAACCTGAGCTTGGTCTCAGGATTGGCTATTCCCGTCAGCTTGGTGTCATCTGCAAATTTCCCTTCCGGTCCCTCATTAAGTAATTTATGAGGATATTGGAAGGGAGCATTTCTTGCCCTAATCCTATATTTCTCAGCGCTGGGCTGGAGGATTCTGGGAGTTGAAGTCCACACATCTTAAAAGCTGTTGGGGATGAGAAACACTGGCTTAATGGACATGTCCACATCGTTTTTTCTGGGCAGTCACAGAAAAATAATTTGCTATCATTTTTCTTGGCCAAAAGGAGACACACACACACCCCGCCCAATTCTCTGGCCCAGATCTCAGCCCGTCTCTGCTGATTTTGTGGCATCTTGTAAAAATAAAAAAAACATTCTGCATGTATTACAGAGAAGCAATGGGGATCAAAGTTAACTTTACTTTTTACGACAATAGATTAAACATGACCGTTTGTTCCACTGGGGCAGAGAGCAGAGATCAGGAAAGCAAACAAGTGATAAACCATAAAACGATAGATGTAAAGTTTTCCTTTAAGTCCAAGTCGACTTCTGGTGATTTCTTGGACATGTCTATATAATTTTATTGGTGGTAATACAAAAGAAGGCTTATAGCTACCTCCTCCTGGCCATCGTTTATTTTGGTTTTTGAACAAAACAAAACTTTTGAGAGTGGGGGAAAAAAAGCAACTCAAAGCCAAGAGAGGATAATTATAAGTTATTAAGATGGTTCCTAAAATATAAAAATTCAAGCTTGTGTGAATTGATTGCACTGTCTGGAAACCGTGAGAATATATCTTGCGATCTTTGGGAAGAAAAATATTTCATTTCTCAAAGGTCTTTTTCCATGCACAATCTGGGCTTTCCTGGAGTTTTACTTTTGCTTCTACACCTTGTTTTCTTCACAGCGCTAAAATGCAAGGAAAGGGAAGGAAGACAGAACAGCTGCCTTATATTCTCCAGTTTGGTAGCCCTAGAAAGTTTTTAAATTTTTTTTTTTTTATACAGGGGACACACAACCCAACTAGAAAACACACAAAAGCCATCTGTTGTATAGGTGTCTGTATTTCTTTTCTTGTTTGCTTCGAATACTTCCATGGCCAAAGAGAACTGTGTCAAATAATCAGCTCGTAAATGTAATTCTTGATCAAGGAACCACTGTAAATGTGCAAGAATAAATACAGGACTTCTGGGTGAAACCCGTTCCACTGACTCATTGTTCTGTCAGGAAATTTCTCCTTAGTTCTAAAGTTGCTTCTGTCCTTGGTTCGTTTCCATCCGTTTCTTGTCTTGCTTTCTGGTGCTTTGAAAAATAGGTTGCCCCCCTCTTCTTTGTGGCAGCCCCTCAAATATTGGAAGACTGCTATCACGTCCCGTCCCCCCCCCCCCGGTCCTTCTCTACCATATTAATTCCTTCCATTGTTCATTGTATGGTTTAAACTTGTCCCCTCATCATCTGTTGCTGAATATCGCTGTAGAAAGGAGTGGAGGGGGGAGGGGGTGGGAGTGATTTTACAGGAATTGGGCCTGGCTAGTCTAGGGAAGAGAAGGACCAGGGGAGACAGGATAGCGGTCTTCCAATATTTGAAGGGAGAGGGAGAGAAAGAAAAGGAAAGAAAAAGAAAAAGCAAAAGAGAAAGGAAGGAAGGAAAGAAAAAAGTGGGAGAGAAAGAGGGAGAGAAAGAGAGGGAGATAGAGCAAGAGAGAGTGACTGGAGGCTAAAACATAGGAAGAACTGTTACAGGCCTGGCTAGTCTAGGGAAGAGAAGGACCAGGGGAGACAGGAGAGCATCTTCCAATATTTGAGGGGCTGCCACAGAGAGGAGGAAGGGGGTCAAGCTATTTTCCAAGGCACACAAAGGCCAGACAAGGAATAATGGATGGAAACTGAACAAGGAGAGATTCAACCTGGAAACAAGGAGAAATTTTCTGACAGTGAGAACAATCAACCCCTGGAACAGAAGTTGCCCTTGGATGTTGTGGGAGCTTCATCACTTGAGACTTTCAAGAAGAGACTGGACTGCCATTTGTCAGAAATGGTGTAGGGTCTCCCATTTGGGCGGAGGGGATTGGACTAGATGACCTACAAGGTCCCTTCCAACAGATGATCAATCTGTTATTTGTTAAAAGGAATGAGAGAAAAAAGGAGTTGGGATCAAGAGACAAGAGGGCTCACCGAAGAACGGTGTCCTTTAAGTCTCGCTCAATTCTTCTCTTCTCAGATTTGGTCTCTGAAAGGATCCAGTTTGGCACACACACACACACACACACACACACACACACACACACAAACGTTTAGCCTCCTCTTGAATTCTGACCATCATTTTGGTCTGGCGATCCAACAGTGGGATTTTACGAGATTTAACGAGTTTCATGTCTCTCCTCTCCCCTCGGTCACTAGCCGAGTCATAATCTCACTGCAAAGTTTGAAAAATTGAAAACAAAAAAAAGGATTAATGGACAAAAGCTGAGGGCAGGGAAAGGGGGCAGCCCAGATTCAAAGGAAATAATTTGGCAGCGACATTTCCACAGAAGCTCAAAACGCCGGAAAGTACATTTTCTAGCCCGAGGCTACAAGTCAAGCCACTCAATTCATCCGTTGACGGAGCTCCATGGGAGAGGCAGAGCTCAGTTTTCCCTGTTGCAAATAAATTATTCTTAATATTATTAAAGAGAGCGAGGTTTATTTGCCTTTGATCAAAGGACTATCACGCCATGGATTTTGAAGCAGGAGTGCTGAAAAGACATTATTGAACAATGGTGTTGGAGAAGACTCACAAGAACACCGTGGACAACCAAGAAAATAATCCAATGGATCGTCAAAGAAGTCTTCTCACTTGAAACACAAATGTCCAGCCTCAAAAAAGATCCCACTTTGGAACTATGATGGTGAAGATATAATAGCTCTCTGAAGATGTCTATAATGCTGGAAAGAGGTGGAAAGAGAACTAGGATAGCAACTTCCACTACTTGAGAAGGGGCTGCCCCGAAAAAGAGAGTCAAGCTATTCCCCAAAGCACCTGAAAAGCAGGACAAGAAGCCATGGGTGGAAACTAATCCAGGAGAGAAGCAACCTAGAACTCAGGAGGAATTTCCGGATAGTTAGAAAAATTAACCAATGGAACAGAAGTTGCCTTCAGAAGTTGTGGCCGCTCCATCACTGCAGGCTTTTAAGAAAGGACTGGACAGCCACTTGTCTGAAATGAGATAAGTCTCCTGCTTGAGCAGGGGGCTGGACTAGAAGACCTCCAAGGTCCCATCCGTTATTCTGTTATGCAGCCGAGGATGGTTTGATTTGGATTTGATGACCTCAAAGGGTTCTTCTAATCCCTAGGCTTGAATCCCTGGCTGTATTTGAGCAGAGATTCTGGCGCCAGGCTGAAATCCACAACCCTGGGGCGTTTTCCTCTTTTGTTTTGATCTTCCAAATATTACACACGTTGCAGACTTTCCGATCCGGCATCTGGAAATTGTTGGCTCCTTTTATTCAAGGCAGCCTGTCTTTACACATCTGGCAGCGGAAACATTTTAAGTTTATTATGTTTCAAAGGAGAGGAAGGGAGGATACAGGGCAGTGATAGCTTGGGAAGTGCTGCCATCTACTGCAGAGAGGCGACTTCTCCATTGTGGGAACGGCTCCCACCAGAGATTCGCTATGCAACTCCCCATCCCGATGACCTTCCTTGAAAACTCCATACTGGCTGGGGAATTCTGGGAGTTGAAGTCCCCGGGACGTTAAAAATGGCTGTTGGGAAGCATTGTTGGGGGAAGGTATTACACAGGTAGTCCTCGACTTACAACAGTTCATTTAGTGACCGAAGTTACAACGGAACCGAGGACCGTTTTTCAGAGTTACCACCTTTCCAGCCTCTCTGGGATCCAAATTCAGACGTTTCGACAACTGACTCGTATTTATGACCATTGCCGTGCCCCGAGGTCATGGGATTCCCCTTTTGCGAGCATCTCACACGCAAACAAGATGGGGAAGGCCAGAGTCACTTCACGACCGTGTGTGACTGGCTTAATGACGGCGGTGATTCCCTTAACCAACGGTGGCAAGGAAGGTCGTACAATGGGACGAAACTCACTTTAACACAGGATTATTCCCTTTTTTAAGCACAGAAAATTTGGACGCGCTTGTGGCTTTAAGTCAAGATCTGCCTGTAAGTGCAGTTTATTCTTGTGGGTGGGAAAGGAGATCCAGGCCGTGGGTCATTTTCCAGGGAGGAAGTTGCAAAACGCCAGCCGCCACCCCCATGTCTTCCTGAGAACCCAAAGAGATTCTCACGATCCTACCAGAGCTTGTGTTGAAGACATGCTGCAAAAGTGTTGCATTTACAAACATATGGAAGTTTATTTAAGAAAATAAAAATGAAAATGAAAACATCACAACCGCGAACATTGGTTACATTAAATTTCCATCCTCCTGACACCTCCAAAAACAATTTTAACTGGGCATGCTCATGACAACTTTGCTTTAAAAAAACAAACAAAAAATGAGTTTTTAATTAAACCACCACATTTCTTTTTGTTGTGGCTTTTTGTTTTTGTTTATAAAGGGAAAAGAATAAAGAATAACTCGGCACGCTCCCATTTAACTTTTGTTTTAATGTTTCTCCACAAACAGTGAAAAATACTAAGTACAGACAAGGAATCATCATAATGTTGGAGCCAACATTATAAATATGGAATTATAAATTTAAAACATTTTTCTGGTTTAAAAAATAAATCTGGTAGTAAATGCAGTCCAGCAGGGAAAAAAAGAGGGGGAAGAGTCCCTGGCCGCTTAATAGGGCCGGTCTCTGCGGTCCTGACGGTGCTCCCCCCTGGGAAAGAGAAGGAATCGGGTCAGAACAGGAGCAGCTCTCTCCCCCCCCCCCCCCCCGCCCCCTCTTTCGGCCTCAGCTGATGCCATCCCAAATTCCCGGACTTACTTGTCCATCTTCCCTGGTCCTCCGCGCCTGCTGCCTCGGCCTCCTAGCTGCTCCATAAGAGGTCCAGGCGGGCCCCCGGGGCCTCCTCGCCGGCCCCCTCCGAAGCCCCCTCGGTCCATGCCACGGCCTCCTCGGAACCCGCCTCGGTCTCCACCACGGCCGCCGCGAAACATCCCTCCGGGCCCACCGCGGTCCATCAGCCCACCTCGGCCTCCTCTCATGCCGCTAGGGCCCCCCCGGCCGCGATCGCCACCTATAAGGAAGGAAAGGCAGCAGGGTTCAAGTCGAAGCCGGGCCTCCACCCCACCCGTGAGGCAGGCGACACTCAGGCGGCCCTCTCGGAAGCACCCCACGGTGGGCTCGGTTACCTGCGGCACATACATCCCCGGGCCGAGCCACTCGGGAAAGCGTGAGCAATGAGGGTGCGCACTTTAAATTGCCCGAGAGTGTCCCCCGCTCCCCCTCCCAAAAAACAAGATCCGTCCGTCCCTTGTCAACGGGGCGGAAGTGGGTGTGGACAGAGCAGCAAGCAAAGGCCCAAACACCCCCAGAGGCTCCTCTATGGTTCATTCTCTCTCACACACACACGGTTTCGCTACATCCAAAGAGTGAACCCAAATGTGGGTGCAGTCGCCCATTTCAAGCTATGTCGAGAGCAGGGCTGGGATCCGACCGGCATTAACTGGTTTGGGGAGCGCATACACTACCGGCTCCAGCTGACGAGCAGCACTCAGCTGCGCAAAGTAGCTGAGGGGGAAAAACGCAACCTAGATGGCGGGGTGGGCCAAACAGCAGACCAAAACCTTGTCCCAGCAAACCGGTTCGGTGTCAGCTGCTCTTCGGAGCTACCTGTTCTATAGAACCGAACCGGACCGGTAGATCTCCCCCCCTGGCCGAGAGGTTGTGTGAGGATGGCTTTCCAGGCGAGGGCATTAAAAAGGTTTGCACGGTGCGATCTGCGTGCTTAGAAAGACTGAAAATCGGGCGGTCGGGTTTTCCTTCGAATCTAAAACAGTGATTGGTTGGTTTTCCCAAACTAAGCAGCTTTAAGGTATGTGGACTTCAGAGCCCAGAATTCCAAAACCACCCTAAGCGGCTGGAGGGAATGAACTCTGGGAGCTGGAAGTGCACTTGTCAGATCCATGTATCTGTCATTTCTTCAGTGGAAGAAGAAAAGGGG